AATTTTTATAATTTTAAAGCGATAATTGTATATTTACATATGCATTTGTATATATAGCAAGCGAGACTGGGGAGAGAGGACAAAGAATCCGAGAGAAGTGAGTTATATATATATATAGGTTAAATAATTGTATATTATTCATTATGTATTTGTATATTCTGACAAATTATACATATATACAAACATAACTAATTACACAAACTCAAAATCAATTCACATAATTAATGTATAATGTGAATCGTAAGTGATAATAATAACAAACTAAATTTATGCCGAGGATAAATCTACTCAATCGCGTAATTTTTCATATAATAATTAATGGTTGAAAAGTCAATAATGATTCATATTACATTAATGAAAATTCCAAATAGAATCAAAGAAGTAAATCTAAAAACTGAGAAATAGACTAATAATACAGTAACTAACTTTAATTTGATGAAATTCTTTTTCAAACTTCCATCAACACGTTGAAGGCAAACCATAAACTGAAAACGGCGGCAAGTGATGCTCCGGCATTGTACTTAACAGCACCGCTATCTGTCAAATCATCAGCATCACCGTTGGGACCATCCGCCGGAGAATCCGCTGGAGACTCAGCCGGAGATGCAGGTGCCGGTGGTGACTTGGAGTGCTTAGGAGATTCAGCACGTGCCTCCGGTGCCGGCGCCGGCGCCGGAGTAGGACTAGCCTTGAACAATTCCTCGGGTAATAACACCTTATCAAGCGAGTAAATCGCTAATGGCAGTTTATCAACCACAGTAGCCGTGATCTTCGCCGTCACAATTTTCGTTTTTATAGTAACATCTTCACCGTCATTTTGAATGACTACAGCGTACTTCTTAGCTCCGTCAGTAGCTAAAGTGTTCATATCTCCATTATTCGATTTCAAATTCGAAATCGATTGGTATATAGGAATTCCATGATATTCGAGCAGTGATTGCTTCCCTTCCGCTGTTAAATTCTTAAATTTAGGCAAAAATTTCTTCATTGCATCATCTCGTGGACAAAATATTGTTACTCCGCCATCAACGTTATCCTCAAACGTTTTTTCAGCCGGAGAAGCTAATAGAGTCTCGGCGAAAACTTTGCAGCCTTTAGCTGACATTAGAGAAGTGAGATTCATTTGGCTTGGTCCTGGAGTCGGAGCTTCAGCTTCGTCTGAGGGTAAAATCGTACTTATTTGAATAACGGAGATGTTGTAAGGAATCTCGGCGATTGATTTTACAAATTTAGCCGGAGGAGGACCGTTGTAATCAGCCGGACTGAGCCCGACTTTACCTCCTCTTAGATCAGTAATGTTTACGAATCCAGAAGATCCGGTAGCTGAGCCGGTAGCTTGAAACATTGTGGCGGCAAGTGCCGTGCCGTTAGTAATCTGGTGAAGCTTTTTAGCGTCGAAGTAATCGAGAAGCACGTGAAAAGAGAGAACGTTTTTTATAGTGTAGATAGATAGTTGTTTGGAGAGTAGATCTGACATTCCGGCATTATCTACAGCACAAACAGTGATGGTTTGCCGGCGGTTAATTTCAGCGGCGAGGTGTGTAGTTGTTAAGTAATGGTTGAAAGTGGAGAACTGTTTATGGTCGGCTAGAATGTGAGTAATGTTATGAGCTTCAGTGGCACAAATAAAAAGGACTACGGAGAGAACCACCGCAGCCACGGTGGCCGACGACGGAAGCTGCATGTCGGTGTTGTAAGAGAAAGAAGAACTCCGGTGACTGTGTGAAATTCAAGGAGTTGTTATTGGGGCAAGTGAGATCTCAAGTGACTGCAAATTTATTGTTCAGGTACGAACCTTATACAATAATGTATTTTTACACATATAACATGCTTTCACGTATCCTGATATTATGGCTAACCGTCAAATACATAAACAAATTTCTAAATTTATTATATTATTGCTCTCGGATATCTTAATTCTGTTATTTTTTATTGATTCATCGAATCACTCATAATTTATTTTTTCTACAAATTATTGGCGGATGTGGAACCAAATTTTATGAGGTGTATTGATAGAGGATGCACATGTTATTTCACGACTCATTAGTCCAGTATTTGATAGTCAAAATGTTCGAGAATAATTATGTTTTACTTCAAGTCATTTGAACACATTAGAAAACAAACGAAACTAACACATAATTTGTCTTCATTCTTCTAATCAAATCAAAATCATTACAATACGAACACAAAGACATTTACAATAGAAATGCCGAACAAAATGAGCCAACAATGTTTAAAAGGAACGAATTATGAGTGATTCAATAAAAAAAAATGACTACCTGAAGGGAAAACCCCAACAAGTTTAGAAATTTGTTTATGAGTCCGGCCTGTGGCCAACACACCCATAAAATAACGAGATTGAATGATCGATCATATATTTTTCTATTGGAGTTGAATATTTCATTCTAACTCCTTCCATAATTTCTGATAAAAAAGTTACGGTGAGAAGTAAAAAGTATTTCATAAAGTTAATCGAGATACACGAAGGCCAGTGTAACTAAGAAACAAAAATGGAAAAAGCATTATGATATTATACGAATTATTTTTGCTCTAAAAGGTTAGTAATATCCGGATTCGGTTTCACCCTTTTCTTCGCAAACAAACAAGTATGCATGTGGGGATTCCGTGAAGATGATCATTATGTGTAAAATTAAAGTACTAATAATATATATAATTTCACTTATTATAGTCATAGCCCATCTTAAAAGTTTTGATTGTAGTAATTAAAATAATTTAGAATATGATTTTCTGTAAAGGAGTTTTAGAATTAAATACCATTGAACTTCTTTAAAAAGTTTAAGTGCCTTTGGTCTATGTTATTAATATTGTTACTCTACCTTAATTACCTCTTCTTTGTTGATATCAAAAGAATGAAATGGAATTTATTACTGTATGTTTGTTTTTTACTTTAATCATCGTCTTATTTTTTATTGATGTTATTCTATATATACTCTATTTTGTGGAATTTTATCGAATTTTTATATTCTAATCGGGTAAGGATATATTTGTTTACACAAAACACGCTATCTTTTCATATTTTAGTTATGAAATTTCACCGAATAATTGTTATTGTTACAAAAGGCCTATTTGAAGACCTTTTTCCACTTTATCTTAAGTGTTTCATTGACTAAACGAAACAAAACTCGATTAAATATTTCGCGTCATATTAGAGATTTTTATTTTTATCTTTTGTTCAATCTAATTAAGTAGAAGTATAATTTTTTTTTTTAAAAAAAAGTCATGTTGATTCTTGAGTACACTAGCATGATTAAAATGTATAAAGAAAATATATGTGAAAAGAATAATCTCTTATTTTAACTTTCTTTATTTAAATATTGAGAAATATCCAAAAAAGAAAAAGAGAGAGTAGAAACTTGCAATTTATATCGCTTAAATAGTCACCTTTTAAAGCATTATATTTTAATGCCCATTGTGTGTACGTAAAATAGAATAACAAATATTACTAACATAAAATGATTTAAAATGCTTGACCATATCCTTATAGGACTATTCTCTTAATTTCATTAAATAATTTATAAGAAAAAAAAATGGACGGTGGTCTGATTGAATATGTCACTGCGTTAAATGTGCTAATCTTTTGGACCTTAACCTTGTAATTAACTGATTAGGAAATGAGTTATATAACGGATCAAAACTGAATATAATTTAATTTTTATTAAGTTTAATTTTTTTTTGTTCTTTTAAATTATTTATGTACCTAATAAAATTATAGCGATATATAACACGAGTTGAATTATTATTATTGAGTTAATAAATAAACAGATCAATAATTAGTTTAAACTTAAACATATTTAACTGATTGAATTTAATTTTATTATCTATAACCGAAATTAATGAGAGATTAAACTCGAAGATGTCATACTTTTTTATATATATATATTTCACAGAGAAAGTAGTACTTTATTGATTAAGAATTTATTTTCTAAAATAAAAAATCTTTAAAACTAAAATGAAATACTAGCAGAATAAGAGGAGGAAACTAAGGCTTAAAAGATGGGTGTTCAAATAAAAGGCAACCACGTGTATAAAGTATGACTATCAGTGATACACAATTACGTAAGAAACAAATTTTATATAATATTATTTTAAAAATATTTTAAATATAATTTAGATAAATAGTAAGAGAAAATAAATACGATGGGAGTGCAGATAACACAATTAATATAAAATACTATTTGTAAAATTTGTTTGATAATATAATTTTTGTTTTTTTTTCCTAAAGAAAATATTAAACAATAGAATATTAAAACATTAGAAAATATATTGTACGAGACTTAATTAGATTTTTCATTGACTGGTAGGATTCTCTGGCAAAATTCTCAGCTTTTGTAGCGTTAAATACTGTACGCTATCACAGCTATTTATATTGTGATTTAGTATTAAATTACTAAAATTCATTTGGATTCCATCATTAATTTTGTGGCAAAGTCTGATTCATACGTACTTAAAAAATAATTTAATTATGGTTTATAGTTATAGCGTAGCTACGAGCAAGATGGGGAGAGGAAGAAAAGAGGCGAGAGAGATTAATTATATTTTTTATTTCTATGATATAATTGTATATGTATAAAAGATGAGAGAGGCGAAAGAGAGAGTACGTAATCACAATTGAAATTAAGGTGTGAGCCATAATTAATTCAAACTATAGCTATAATAGCTAATTAACTAGAAAATGATAATCTTTCAAATGAGAAAATGGAGAAAAGAAGTCGTTACAAAAACATTCACATATAGGGATAAGTTCTAGCTAAAAAATATATTTTCGAAAAATAAGTTCATGTAAGGTTATCTTATTAATTCAAAAATAAGAGAATAAAAGAGCAAATAGCTCTAAGGGATATACTTTATTCGATATTGTATTTTAAAATTAGAAATCTAGACATAACGAAGGAAGTAAATCGTTATAACGAAGGAAGTAAATGTAGACATGACAGGATATGCATTTGATTTTTTGATTAGTTGGTTAGTAATGAGTAATATAGAATTCAAAATTTCACTGCAATTTTATTATTTGTTATAAATGATAATCAGTAAATTAAAGTACAACAAATAAGATAATGAATGAATAAAAGTGTCAAAAATATTACAATAAATATGATAAAAGACTCGATAATAGGAATTTTGTGCAACATTGGGCCGGATGCATTCAAATTGAAAGTGCGGCCCAAATAGCAAGCCCACTTAGAACCATCGGCACTTTCAACACTGAAATTGCAGCGGAAACATCATCAGCAACGGGTGCTGGTGAAGTTCCCGGTGATAAACTCGCCGGCGCCGTAGTAGGTCCGTCAACAGACTCCGCCGGACTTGCTGAACTTGAAGGTATGCTTGGGGATACTGACGGTGTCGCAGTGCTGGCCGGAACATCCGCTGCTGCCGGGGAAGATGCCGGAGTGCTCACCGGCGTTGATACCGGCGGAGGAGTTGCAACAGAAGGAACCGGAGCAGATCTACTGATTGACGGAGTGAGTGCGGGTGAAACGCTGGTTACTGGAGAAGCTGCTTTCGGTGACTGTACCGGCGCTGCAGACGGGCTAATCGTAGGAGCCGAGGGCGAAGAAACCGGTGCTTGAGATCTCACTGCCGGTGATTTAGTCGGGGAAGAAACCGGTGCTTGTGATTTTACCGCCGGTGATTTAGAGGGAGAAGAAATTGGGGATTGAGAAGGTGCATTTTGCGCTTCACCGGAATTTAACACGAGAAAAAGTACAACAACAGTGCCAAATAATTTAGACATATTGCAGTGCTAAGAAAATGAGAAAGAGCAGAATATTCCGGTGAAATTGAGAAAGAATAGAATATTCCGGTGGCCGGAAAACAATATTCAATTGAATAAATAAATAAATACTGAAGAATATTGAAGAGAATGTTTGTTTGTAGAGAAATATATAGTAAGTGAAACTAAACGTTGCATTCATAAAAATTTAAAAGCAAAGTTACCGTTGCTATTCGTGGGGCTTCCAAACGCTACGACGGTACGGCTTGTCGCAGTAATGTAGCCGTTATTGAAAAGTATTTTCCTAAAAAATTTACTCCTACTTAATGTTTGTTTTTGAAAACAGAGTTAAAATTTTATGTTTATAGAACTTGAATTATTAAATTTTGATAAATTGTTAAGTTTTAGTAGAGATTAAATAAATTTGATAAAAATAAAGAATGCGTTAAAATTATTAATGAATTCGTGTCGACTAATTAAAAAGAGTTGTTGGTTCAGTAGCCAACAAGGAACTCTATTTCGATGCCCTTTGAAGCTATACCAACTTTTTTTGTCCATTATAATTGTGCATTATTTTCTCGATATGGTTAAAATTTTATAAGTCCATTAAATTTATTTTTCAATCATAATTTTTATATATTATTGTAATTTATAATTACTTTTTACATAAGTTTTCAAATCTTTACAAATACACAATTTTTATTTCAAAATAACATAAAGTTTCTTTATCTGAATTCACGGTCAGAATTTTAAAATATGAATATTAATGCTGTGAGAGTAGTTTATTTTACTAGCAAGTCAGAAACTTAACATTCTATTACCTCTATAAATTCTGCCCTAAAGCATATTAATTAATAATAGTACAATTATTTTGACTTATCACGATTTATTTATCAGCTTTTATGAGTTTAAAATCTCTATCGACTCAATAAAATATCAATTGATTCAATTTGATTAAGTGATTATAAACTGGCTATCAATCAAGTTATCAATTAAATTAATACATATTCGAAATATTAATTGTGCCAATGATTGAAGCATGACAATCCTCTACGTGAATCATTTCTTCTAAGATTAATGGGTTGTTGATTAATTCCATAAAAAAAACTAGATAATTATTTTTTTAAACTAACTCCTTATTTAAAAATTATAAACCATTTCCATAATATTAATCTGATAGCCCGATATCAATTACTATAATAATGTTATAAAACTATTAAATAAGAAAAAGAAGCTAGAGAGAAAAGAAGAGAAGACTTGTTATTTCTCTTGATGAATGAATTTACAATGAAGAGGAGCACTCTATTTATAGGAGAAATCTAACTTGGTCCCCAAGTAGGAGGACTCTTTAATCATATCCTAAAAAGGACTCCACATGATAGACATTCACTATAATACAAATACTTTATAACACTCCCCCTGAATGTCTAATTCATAGATGATGTGCCTCGTCAAAAACCTTACTAAAAAAACTTTAAGAAAAGAAAAACTCTAGTAAAGGAAAAGAGTACACATATCTATTAATACGCATCTAGGCTGCCTCATTAAAAACCTTACAAGGAAAACCCAGTGGGACAAAACCTCGTGAGGGAAAAAGAGTACAGCGCGTATTTACTCCCCCTAATGAGAACATTAATCCAGAGACTTGAAACTTCGCATTCCAAGCTTGTGCACCATCTTCTTGAAAGTTGCAGTTGGTAGAGACTTGGTAAATAGATCAGCCACATTGTCACTTGAACGAATCTGTTGCATATTTATATCACCATTCTTTTGAAGTTCATGTGTATAGAAAAGTTTCGGTGAAATGTGCTTTGTTCTATCTCCTTTTATGAATCCTCCCTTAAGTTGTGCTATGCATGCTGCATTATCTTCATATAAAGTGGTGGGTACTTTATCACATTTCAAACCACATTTCTCTCGAATGAGATGTATCATAGACCTTAACCACACACATTCTCTACTTGCTTCATGAATAACTATTATTTCAGCATGATTAGATGAAGTGGCTACGATGGACTGCTTTGTAGATCTCCAAGATATAGCAGTCCCCCCACATATAAACACATAGCCTGTTTGGGATCAAGCTTTGTGTGGATCAGATAAATATCCTGCATCAGCATAACCAACAAGATTTGGGCTACAATTAACAGAATAAAATAAACCCATATCAGTTGTCCCTTTAAGATATCGCAAAATGTGTTTGATCCTATTCCAATGTCTCCTAGTAGGAGCAGAACTATACCTTGCTAACAAGTTAACAACAAAAGCTATATCAGGCCTTGTAGTGTTAGCAAGATACATTAGTGCACCAATTGCACTAAGATACGGTACTTCAGAACCAAGAATTTTTTCATCCTTTTCTTGAGGTCGGAATGGATCCTTATTCACATCAAGTGAACGAACAACCATCGGAGTACTTAATGGATGCGCTTCATCCATACAGAATCTTTTCAACACTTTTTCTGTGTAGGCAGATTGATGAACAAAAATACCATTTGTCAAATGCTCAATTTGCACACCAAGACATAATTTTGTTCTTCCCAGATCTTTCATCTCAAATTCATTCTTTAAATAATCAATTACCTTTTGAAGCTCTATTGGAGTTCCAATAAGATTTATGTCATCAACATAAATAGCAAGTACAACAAATTCCGATATTGTTTTCTTTATAAAGACACATGGACAAATTGCATCATTTGTATAACCTTCCTTACTTAAATACTCACTAAGACGGTTATACCACATGCGCCCAGATTGCTTCAAACCATATAATGATCTTTGCAATTTAATTGAATACATTTCTCGAGATTTTAAATTACACGATTTAAATCCTTCAGGAATTTTCATGTATATCTCATTATCAAGTGATCCATAAAGGTAGGCTGTAACCACATCCATCAAATGCATTCCAAGTTGCTCATGGACTGTGAAACTAATGAGATAACGCAATGTTATTGCATCCATAACAGGTGAGTATGTCTCTTCATAGTCGACGCCAGGCCTTTGAGAAAATCCTTGTGCCACAAGGCGTGCTTTATACCTTTGTATTTCATTTTTCTCATTTATTTTTCGCACAAAAATTCATTTGTAACCAACAGGTTTAATACCATTAGGTGTTTGAACTATAGGTCCAAAAACTTCACGCTTGGCAAGTGAATTCAACTCTGATTGAATTGCTTCTTGCCATTTTGGCCAATCATTTCGTTGTCGACATTCTATAACAGATTGAGGTTCATGATCCTCATTATCTTGCATGATATTTGTTGCAACATTATATGCAAAGACATAATCAACCACTATTTCTGATCGATTCATATTAGTTTCAACATCTTTTAAATTTATGGATAGTTCATTATTTCCTTGAGTTTCAAGTTCATTGATTCTTTCATGAATATCAGACTTATTCAAATTTTGAACTTCCATATGAGATTCTTTCATAGTGTCATCTTGACATTTAATCTTTCTTTTTCTAGGATTTTGATCCTTAGACCCCAATGGTCTACCACGCTTTAGGTGTGTTTTTGACTCATTGGCTATGACACTAGTGGATGGTCCTTTAGGGACATCAATTCGAATTGGGACATTCTCTGCAGGAATATGTGATTTAGTAATCCTTTTCAAATTTGTAAATGCGTCTGGCATTTGATTTGCAATTTTCTGCAGATGAATAATCTTTTGTACTTCTTATTCGCAAGTAGAAGAATATGGATCAAGATGAGACAATGATAAATTTTTCCACAAAATTTCTCGTTTCATTTCACTATTCTCTCCCCCTAATTTTGGGAAAACTGTCTCATCAAACCGACAATCTGCAAATCTAGCAGTAAACATGTCTCCAGTCAAAGGTTCAAGATAGCGTATAATGGAGGGTGACTCAAACCCAACATATATTCCTAACCTTCTTTGAGAGCCCATCTTAGTGCAGTTTGGTGGTGCCACAGGCACATATACAGCACTTCCAAAAATTCTTAGATGGGATATATTAGGTTCTTGACCCATAACCAATTGCAATGGAGAAACCTTATGATAACTTGTCGGTCTGAGACGAATAAGTGTTGCAGCATGCAAAATTGCATGTCCCCACACATAAGTGGGCAACTTAGTTTTCATAAGCAATGGTCTTGCTATTAATTGCAAACGTTTAATTAATGATTCAGCGAGACCATTCTGAGTATGAACATGAGCAACAGAGTGTTCAACTCTTATCCCAATTGCTAAACAATAATCATTAAATGATTGGGATGAAAACTCTGCAGCATTATCAAGACGAATGGACTTAATCTGATTATCAGGAAAGTGTGCCCTTAACCTTATTATTTGTGCCAATAATTTTGCAAATGCCAAGTTACGAGATGACAATAGGCACACATGAGACCATCTAGAAGACGCATCTATTAGAACCATAAAATATCTAAATGACCCACTAGGTGGGTGAATAGGTCCGCAAATATCCCCATGTATATGTTCCAAGAACGCAGGGGACTCAATCTTAACTTTCATTGGTGATGGTCTCACAATTAACTTGCCTTGATAACAAGCAGTACAAGAAAATTCACCATTTAAAAGAACTTTTAGGTCTTTTAGTGGATGTCCATTCGAATTTTCTATAATTCGTCTCATCATTATTGACCCAGGATGTCCTAGACGATCATGTCAAAGTACAAATGTATTGGAATCAGTAAACTTCTTATTTACTATACAATGTGCCTCAATTGCACTAATTTTTGTCCAATACAAGCCAGAAGATAAAGCATGAAACTTTTCTATAACACATGTCTGCCCAGAGACATACTTGGTGATACCAAGATATTCAAGATTTATTTCATCCATTGATTGGATATGATAACCATTTTCACGGATATCTTTAAAACTCAACAAGTTTCTCTTAGATTTTGGAGAAAACATAGCATTATTAATGATGAGTTTAGTTCCCTTGGGCAAAATTACAATGACTCTTCCAAAGCCCTCAATCATATTAGTACTACCAAAAATTGTAGTAATATTTATTTTTCCCATACTTAAATGAGAAAAATATTTCTTATTTTTGAATATGGTATGTGTTGTACCAGAATCAATCAAACAAATATCTTCATATTTCGATAATATGTTCTTAGAATTATCCATATCTTCACATGAAA